CCTTGCGCTTGCCAGGGAAGCACTTATTCTACTGAGCCATCTCCCTGGTCCCTTGTTGTCTAATTCAAGATGCAGAAACCAGCAGCTGTGCATCTCAGCAAGAGAGACAAGCTGTGTTACTAGGGCTCAGACTTCACTCAGGTAGGGTCTCTGCCCTCCTCAACCCAAAGCTCACTCAGGAGTTGGGGGTTCACAAACAGAGCATTTGGGGGGCCATCCCCTCCCTTTCTTGGGGTCTGAAGGCATTACTCCTATTTTTTGTGTGTATTTAATACAGGGTCTACAGGGTCTCACTACACAGATTGGACTCGTAGTGATCCTTCCTGTTTGTCAGCCTCCCAAGCGCTGGGATTACAGGCACACACCACCACCCCCAGTCTCATTTGCTTTCTCAGCAAGTCCCAGGGGTGGGGCCAGCACAGCAAGCTGGGGATTGAACCCCTGGCCCCTGTGTCTGCCTAAGCAGGCTCTTTAATCTGCTGAGCTATCTGGTTGGCCCAACTACTCTGATTTTGACAGCTGCAGTTTGGACTTCAAGACCGATAGTAAATGTGAGTCATCCACTCTGTGATTCTCGGCTGAAAAGAGCAGAAAGGAACCCAGTGTCACAGGGCAAACAAACCTGTCTTCAGGGAAACACCAGCTGCTCCCTTCTCCCTGCGTTTCTTTCTTTCGCAAGCAATTCTACTCAATAACATCATTAGGTTGTTTCTGAAGACAGGACAAGGGGCAAGCGGAAAGGAATGCCCAAAACAAGGCCTTCAAATGTAAGTAAATCTCACTGCATGAGGTTGATCAAAACAATCAATGTAGAGCATTGAGTTATGTTCTTGATACAAATCCCTCCTGAAGGGGCTCCCCAGGGAAAGAGCTGGTTTAAGACATCTAGGTCCATGGTCTTCCAACCAGAGCAGGCACAGTGTCCCCTGGGGCTGTGAAGATGCAGGCTCCTCTGCCCTGTCCCAGACATCCTGAGTCAGCGGCTCTATCTTATGCAAGGGAGATGCTTTCTATTTTTTATTCTTTTTGAGACAGAGTCTTGCTAAATTATCCAGACTGGGCTGTGCTGTAATTGCGATCGTCCTGCCTCAGCCTCCCAGAGTGCTGGGGCTGCAGATGTGCACAGCAATGCCCAGTTGGGAACTTGCATTTCTAACAAATTCCCTGCAGAGGTGACACATTTTTCGAGCCTCTTGTCTAGATGCCCGTGCAAAATACCACAGCAGAAGAGAAGCTGTATGAGGTTCACGTTCACATTCCCGTGGCTCTCATTTTTCATAACCGACATTTCTCTACTCATATTTAGTCAGTCGTTCTCCCACGGGGCGCCTCTCACCCCGGATTCTTTGCTCCGTGCTCTCAGAGGCAGAACAACCTGAGGTCAGCGTCAGGAAATAGGTGCAGCGCAGCCAGCCTTCTGCGCATGCGCTCTCCAGCTGCCGGGGGCGGGGGGTCACCTTCTGACTTCCGCAGCCTGTGCAGTCGGGCAGCTGCTCTGTGTCTGCGTGTGTGAGCCTCATTCACTCTTCCATGCTGGATCGCCTCTGCAAGGGCGCGGCTCCAGCGCTCAGACCCTGACCTTCGCTTTCCACTCTCCCTTCCTCCCTCCCACATTCCCTCCAAGGTCAGGGTCAGTGACCACCACCAACCACTTCCAGCCCAGGCTTTCCCGTGAACTCTAATCTGCCTGGGCTGCACCCAGCCACATGTGTGGCCTCTTAGGACTCAGTAGCTCGCCCCTAAATCCAGGGTTCCTCGACTGCCCCTAGCGTCATCTTCTGTTCTCTTCTCCCTGGAGCTGCAAGTGCTGCTGTGGTCTCCGAATTGATTCTGTGTATTTCTGCGGAAGCATATACTGAATTGAAGGAACTGATTGGAAGGAAGTGTAAGCTGAAGCTGGGAATGGTGATACCCACCTGTGAGCCCAGCGCTGCAGAGGCCACGGCAGGAGGGTCACAAGTTCGAGGTCAGCCTGGGCTACACAGTGAGTTCAAGACCAGGCTAAACTACACAAGGAGACCCCATCTCAAGGAGGGGTGTGTGTGTGTGTGTGTGTGTCTAGATGGACCTACTTTCCACATGTAGATCATGGGGGAAGCCAAAATTGTTTCTTAGTTCCCAAATGTTGGGAAATGTCCCAACAGAGTCAGTTTCTGGCCCATGGAGAATTCACAAGAATGAAGAAATGAATACCCGTATCTTTGGCACACTCTGGCTCCTAATCCAGGGCCTATATATTGCCAGCCCCAATGCAGTAAACTGGTTGTGCACATCATCTGTGTCTAGGCTGCCCACAACCAAGACACTGAAGGAACCCAGGTTGAAAATTCTGCTGCTGCATCCGTCCCAGCTCCCGTTGTCCCCTGACCCCCAGTGTTGTCTGAGCCCCGTTAGCTCTGATTTACACACACCAGCTTTTATGGAAGTGTCATCGGCATCATGCAAAGTGTGCAGTGTGGCACACTGGCTACATCGACCTGTCATCACCACAGTCAAGATAATGAGCACAGCCATCACCCCGAGGTCCCCATGCAGCTCTGTAATCCAGGGATCCTCTGCCTTCCCACTTCAGCCCCAGACAACTGTGGACGTGCTCACCGGCATTAGGGACTAGTGCCATTTTTCTAAACTTTTATAAGCAACAGAATCACAAGCGGGTGTGCTCTCCATTCAGCATCACTCTGAGCTGTGTCCAGGCCGCCGCCTGTGTGAGGGGTTCATTCTCTCACAGGGGAGGAGTATTAAACCACATGCGCGTGTCCCAGCATGAATGTATCCACCTGCTTATGAAGAGCCACAGAGTTACCAATTTCTTCTATTAAAAAAATATTTTATTTATTTATTTATTTATTTATTCAGTACAGGGTCTCACAACACAGCTCAGACTCATAGCTATCCTCAGTCTCCCCAGGGCTGGGATTATAGGCATGGAAAAAGAGGGTGGCCCAGCTTTAACTGTCCACTAGACCAAACACAGGGGCTGACGCGGACCTTGAGGAAGTAGTGTGTGTTATTGCCCTTCCCAATTTGAGATGAAAAATAGGGTCAAGGGGTTCAAGCGGCCTGCACCCAGTGAGGCAGCCACATCTGGTAGATGATGCTGATGATGTCAGGAGCAAATGGTGACTCACAGACAGCAAGGTCCTGTGCTTCCCACAGGTGTTCTGACTTCGGGACCTCAGAAGAGTGATTAATACGATCTTTCCTGATAGAGAGGGCACTGCGCGGCTATTAAGCCACGTCTGTGCCCAAAGGTAAAGCCAGCGCAGCTGCTACAGGCTCCCAGGAGGGCGGCTGGCTGGGACACCCTGTTCCAGCTCCTTCCCTTCTCCCCAGGCTAGGTCCTCCCCAGCCCCCCTCACAGCCTGAGAATACTGACCTCAGAGTGTGGCCACGTGGGTCAGAGGCTCTTTGGAAAGCCACACCAGTTGGCTCAAACTCTGAGGTGCGCCTTGGAGTGGCTTCCCTGATGGTTCTCGGTCCAGGACTCTAGGCCTTTCCTTTACCTGGGCCTGCCTGCTCTCCCCTGATTCTGTGTCTACAGCCCAGGCTTCAAGGGCTTCTGCGCTCAGGGACACAAGGGCCTACATAGATGGGGTGGGGCTGTGCTGAATTCAGAGGGACAGCTTGTGGTGCTCTTAGCTGGTGTGCGAATTCCTCTGGCTGGGCAAAGGCAGCCCGTGGAAAATGCACTCTGGCAGCTGCCCAGCTCCCAGCCAAGCCTGGAGACGGGACAAGGAATGGAATTCCTTGTACTGCTAAGAAGGGAAGGGACGGGGCAGGCCAGATAGTGGGGGCTGGGTGTCCACAAGGGGACAGGGTTTCTGCTGAGTGGTGTGTAAGGAGTTACGAGACAGCCTTTCCCAGGCTTCTGGGTCCAGTAAGTTCTAGTAAACCCATGAGCATTTGCTGGGAGTGATTTTCATGGTGGACCCTGAAGGAGTGTCAGAACTTTGAATGGGAGATGAGGGTGACAGTGGCTATACTGAACCTGGGTCCTGAGGCCTGTGAGAGGCCTGAGAGCACCAAGTCCCCAGGCCTGCAGAGCCCCCAGGCCATCATTCCTCCACAGCACTGGAGGGAAGCAAGCCAAAGTGCTCTAGCCTGGGGGCTGGGGGGACCTCCAGCCAACCGCCCAACCCTGAAGCTGGAAAGCAAGAAGAAAAATGGATAGTGTGGTTTAGCGCTATAAATACAGCATTAATTACAGCCATTTGTACCAACTGCTTCCCATGAATGCTTAATTGCTCGCTGTGTGGTGTGTCAACAAGTCTGTGTTGCCCAAGCTACATGCCAGCTGGGCTGAGCTCTGGGCACTCTGCAGGCCTGGCTTCCGCAGGCCTTGCTTGGTGGCCTGGCTGTCTGCCCATCAGGACAGTGGCTGCAGTCACAACTGAAGAAGTAAGCATACTTACTCAAGGAATGGGTGATTCTGCCCTTCAAGGTGGGGAATACCCTTGACATTTGCTAGTACAAATACAATATATTGGCTACTCCTTGGGGCCTGACCAAAAAGGAGAATGTGAATGCTAACTTTTTATATCTATCTACCCTCCCACCTTTTTAAATTTAAGAGACCAATAAAGCGTCCTCACCAAAGCTAACAGAGCTCTACACACCCCTTGAAAATCCATTCCGAGCTAAGGTTAACAACTACTCCCAAGCCCATGCTTTAGAGAAGAAAATAAAATAGGAAGGCAGCTCCTCTGGGTGGAGTTAATGAAGACAGCAGATGAAAAGGCTCTTCAGCGGTTCCTCCTGAAGAGGCTGAGAGGGAAAGGGTCCAGCTCACTGTCACTGTCAGTCTGCCACACCCTGCCAACAGATGACCACGTTCCAGGCTCTGGCCGAAGCCCAGGGATGGCCGAGTGAGGGTGCGGTTAACACAAACCTCGTTTCTGGCCTCTGGGAGGTGGTGAGTGGGTTGGGTGAAGGACAACAGGGAGCAAGATAAGCCGAGGGGAAAAGGGGAGCACACGGCACCAGCAAAGCAAACTTACTTCTGCAGGTCTTCTGGTCCGCATTGAGGATGTACCCTTGTTTGCACCTGCACACGTAGGAGCCGGGCGTATTGATGCAGAAGTGGGCGCATCGATGCTCCAGGACGCTGCACATGTAGACGGCTGAAAGGGAAGACACAGGGAGTCAAGGCGGCCGTGATGCCTTCCTGAACCTCATTCCTCCCAGCAAGCATGTATTCAGGCCCTACACCACAAACAAGCCGCAGTCCCTGCCCTCCAGGGGTTTATGATCTTCTGCAGACAAGAAGTGGCCAGATAGATGCATCAGCAACATATAAAGGGCCATGTAGTGTAGGGACAAAGGGAAATGGTGTTGCTGGGCACAGGGGCACACGCCTGTGATCTCAGCACTCAGCAGGCTGCAGAAGGGTCCACGCAAGCCTGAGATACACAGCAAATTCAAGGCCGGCCTGAACTACATGCATACGGGAGTGAGACCCCGTCTCAAAATGTGAGGGAATTGTTATGCTGAATTACATGAAGTTGCTGACATCTGATTGTTTTTAACCTATAGAAACAGAAATTTCCAATTCAACTTAATAACACGTGGAGGTAGGAAGATCCGAGGTGCTTTGGTTAATGTGTGGATTTTCAGTAGGCAGCAGTGCAGTGGGAGAAAGCACTATCGACTAAAGGAGGATGCGTTGAAGAACCAACAGTCTCCTGGGATCGTAACTTCTAAAAATAATGTAAGTTTTTAAGCATATGAAAGTATGCAAAAAAAGTTTGGAGCAACAGTGCATACCTACATTTCACATTGCCATAATTTTTATGGTTCAGTTTAAAATACTTCTGCATTTTACTTCTGAAGTACAGTAATCCAGCTTTCAGATGCATGCATTGGGTAAGTCTTCTGGAGCCCATAAGACTGTCTTTTGTTTTCATAACTTAATTTATGACTTCTCTCAACATAATGCAAGTGGAGCACATTTAAAATTAACCAGCATCAGTGTGTACAAAACAAGTTATGCAAGCGTTCTCACAAACAGTATAAAGAAACTTCTATGCAAAAAAATAATTTTATGAAGCTAAAAGAAAAGGATCATTCAAAAGCTAAGAACCATCCCATTTATCTAGCACTTAGGAAAATTCAGCTATGGGTGAAATTCATCTTAAATACATGTCACTACATGGTGGGCAATAAAGACAATATGGAGTGAAACTGTTTAGTACAATTTAGAATTTATTGTTCTGAGTGTATCGTTGTTCTTTTTTTTTAGGTACCAGGAACTGAACTCAGGTTTGCCAAGCAGGCAGTATGCAAACTGAGCTAAATCCCTGGCCTGTTCTGAGTTTATGGCTGTGTTTCAGTTCCTATTCATGTACAAGTAACATTAGGAAACTTTTCTGATCAAATCCAATGGTCGGGCTGGTGAGATGG